GAAACGGGAGGGCGGGGGCGTGGGCTGGGAAACGGGAGGGCGGGGGCGTGGGCTGGGAAACGAGAGGGCGTGGGCATGGGCTGGGAAACGAGAGGGCGTGGGCATGGGCTGGGAAACGAGAGGGGCGTGGGCGTGGGCTTGTTGACGCGAGGGCATGGGCTTGTTGGCGCGAGGCGGAGGGCATGGGCGAGGGCGCGAGGCGGAGGGCATGGGCGGGGGTGCGAGGCTGAGGGAGTGCGCGAGGGCGCGGGCGTGCTAACGCGAGGAGGCGGCGAGCTGGAAGCCTCCGCTGCCGTCGAGAGGGCGGTGGGATGGGGCGGTGCGCTGGCGTTGAGGTGGGCTGGCGTTGAGGTGGGCTGGCTCGACCCGTGTATGCCGTAGTACCCTACAGCTCTTGCTACCTTTCTCCCCCCCTCTCACGCCCTTCTGTGCGGCGTCGTTATCTCCTGCGTGTTTTGCGGTGGCATGTGCGAGTGCGCGAGGGTAGGGTGCGTGGGCTGCTCTGCATCAAGGTTGTTAGTACTGGAGATAGCGGCTGAAAAAGAATATAAAACTTACAGCATGTAAAGAAAGAGCAATACGTACCCTCTGCAAAGATGCAGAGGGTGGGTGTCGTCGTGTCGTGCAGCGGCAGCGACGACGCGGGCGACGACGACAAGCAGGAACACGAGTATCGGTGACGATTTGGGTGTTTCGAACTCCGCCGGCGTCGCCCGAACGTTGGGTTTGCACCGTCGAATGATTTCCTCGAGTCTTGTAGTGAGCCCATTATATAGGAAAAAATGCAAAGAGTACTCGAAGATGCCATCGGATAGTGTTTACAAAGTTTCAATTTTTTTCACCGGCCAGAAACGAGTCAGTAAATGAAAAGATCCCAGAAGTAAGGGTTCAGTGGGGATTCTGGCTCGAATTCGCGTTCCTAGTTCTCCCCTCTTGTTTTCATGCTTTGAAAAAAATATAGTCGTATTCTCAGGATGTGATTGAACAGTACACGAATTTATCGTGAAGATCTGGGGAGTGTTCCCAGCGCAGGAGCTGAAATCGCGCTCAAGAGCACCAACATCGAGCATTTCGGACGATCCGAAATGCTCGATCTTGGTACTCTTGAACGCGATTCTGGCCTCAGCGATGGGCACAACCCTCAGATCTTTACAGTAAATTTGGGTACCATGTAATCACATCCCAGGAGTACGAATATATTTTTTTCAAAGCATGAAAACCAGAGGAGGAAAATAGGAAAGCGAATTCGACGCTAGCACAACGCTGATTTGCGATGATTTGCGATCTCTTGGGATCGTTTCACGTCGCGCTCATTCTACACTCAACGGAAAAAATTGAAAATTTCTACATCGCATCTATAGGTATGACGCAGTACGCTCCGTATTTTTACTCGTCGAAAAACACTCGCATGAGCGGTGAGGAAAGAAAGTCGGCGTCGTCGGAGCTAGCGCCACAGCGCGGCAAAGTCCGAAAACATTCTCACGGTTCGTTTTCGAGCCTCGTCGTTGTCCTCGTCGTCGTCTTGTCTTCTAACTCTCAGATCTCAATGCCCTCAGCATCGCGCCCCCTTGCTGCCTCGTCGTCCCGCTCCTCAACGCTCTTCGTCCTGGCGCCCCCATGCTCTATGCAAGCGCCGTTCCCACCAACAACGGCTGCTGAACCTTTTTTTTGTAGTTTGGGAGTGCCACGTCGCCGTCGTGCGCGTGTGCACAGGTAACGGTAAGTCCCCGCCCCTTTTTTCACATATCCCTCCCCTTCTCTCCCAAAGCCGTGCGCAAGTATGATAGCTCGGACCTTGGGCAGCAGAACGCGCGCGGCTTTGGCCATTTTACATTCTTTCTCATGCTGTCCTCGCTCCCGTGAGTTTACTGACTTTCGATTGCAGTGCACCTCGACCCCCCCCC